GCTTTATATAATCTTAAGGAATCTTTTACCGAATTTAATTTTCGTGAGCACACTGTCTCGCGTATTTACGCGAAAATAAAGTTCTCGCGAATAAAAAGTGATTTACAGTAGTCAAATTAATGATAACTTGCTACCTTTCAACAAATTCCTTATTGCTTGCAAGACTTGTTTTTTGATTGCGAGCTCTAGCTGACAAAATAAACTTAAAAGTCATTATATTTCTTGCACATACCTGTAAATAAATCTTGGCTTGTTTATATTATTTGATAAGAGTAAGACATTCAGTCTTTCTGATTTTCTGTAAAGTTCTTTATACCTGTGTGATTTTGCTGACAGGTTGCTGCATCTGAACACAAGATGGAGGGGAAGCTGCTAACTTCTGACTGATCTGCTGGGCTCCTCCCTTCAAAATAAATTTACAAATTCCTTGATTTCTGGACAATTTTTATCTGTGCAAGTAATGAGATTTACTTTAATGAATTATTGATTAACAGTATACATGTATAGAGGTAAAATACTAACCACAATTTTATATTCCTGTGCTGTGTATTCTGTAGCCTCTATCAGATTCTTAAGACCACCAGCAGCACTCATATAACTTATAAAGTACAGTACAGAGATCTGTGATAACTCCACACCAAGCATACCACGCAAGGCTGTCTCTATAGCATCTCTGGCACCTGGTGAAGAAGAAAATAATTATTTAAATGATATACTGTAAAATCACATATTTTCGTGGGGTCCAATTTTCGTGGTTGAAGGAAAAAATGCTGGTTCGTGGGGATTTGATTTCGTTGGTGAAGACCTTTTTAGTAGTTGTGCATATGAAAATTTACATTTCGTGGTGGACATGAATTCGTGGGTCTCTTCATACCACGAAAACAACGAAAATTAAACCCCACGAAAATTAGTATCAAAGTTGTTAAGGACGTATGCAATGTAGTTTGAACTTTGTTGTGTTTTTCTTTGGAGTTGAAGAGTTCCAATACTTAAAGGAACTAAATGCTTCATTTTAAATGTCAATATATGCTGTTGTACACTTTTCCAAAACAAGTTTGAATAAACAAAACGTCTAAAATACTGTATAAGTGAAAATTTTAGCTAGACACAAATTAGGTGATTTGTTCTTAAAAATGGGTATTTTATTTTTAGCGAGTTGTAATTATTGCGATTTTAAAAAACCATCTAAAGAAGCTATTGCAAAGAAAGCGCGATTAATCTTTAGCAATCATGACACCCTCGCTAATAATGCCAAAATTAAATCCTTGCTAAAATTTTTACTTATACGGTATATGTTTAGTAATTTTTTTTGCATTTTTATTTGAATTTTACAAGAATTTTTAACGATTGATATCTTTTCAAAACTCCTGGTAATGCATGCTGATCTTTTGCCTATGAACATCTGATATGGCACTTTAATCTTATTTTAAAAATATCTAGAAAAATCATCAGTAGCTAAGGTGCATTGCATATGTCCTTAAGAAATTTTTATTATTTATTCTATATATGAGAGCCTTCTGCATTAGGTGGCATAACACTACACACTTTCTTGTCAGTGCGGGGCAAATATTCTGGTATGTGCCCCTCAATGTTCTGTGATATACTACATGTATATGTGTAATATACAGGGGCGTAGCAACAGGGGGGGGGGGGGGGCGGCCCCCCCCCCACTTTTTTTCCCAACCTTATTTATACTATAGGAATGTTAACTGAGAACCTGGTTGCCCCCCCCCCCCAATTTTAGTGATGTACTGAAAATGTAGTATTAGAATTGGTACTGTAAGTAGTTGACACTGAGAAAAAATTTACAAAACCTTTGGTCCAAAGTTGGTTATTGACAAATGTGTCCAAGGTCATGGCATCCCACTCAGCTCCATACGGACTCTGGTATGGATCACGGATATCAACTTGTTTTCTCATCCATTCCAGCTGCAATTTAAAATTTGGGAGTAATTTTAAAATGCACCATTTCCCCCTCTCATTATTACAGATAGACATGAAGTTCTAATTTTTCTGAAAACATATTAGTTGGAAATAAAAAAAAAAGAAAATAAAGCTGACATTTGCGCATTGACTCTTTTTTCCCTTCTATTGGATTATTTAATTCAGAAATCAATATACAACACTGTGCTCACCCTAAAAGTCCCAGTGTCAACTCATATATCATATATCATGTTGACTCATATATTGATATTATGAAAGCAATTCCCCTCACTCAAGATTTATATATCTCATGATTAAATGAGTGGCACAAATAAATATAAACTTTCACACTATCTATGTACACTTTCTATTCCTTGAATAAAATCCACAAACCTTGAACATTAACTTCTGTAGATCAATCAGTGCTAGTGGAGACAGCGAGGGGATATCTGAGCTATAGCTGCTGATTCTGTCACTTCCCAGCTGCATAAACTTCTTGCCCTCCAGATACTGTACATGTGTGAGTCCCAGCTCCTCCAACAGGGCCATGATGTGGGGCTGGCACCTAAAAAATAAACAAAAATAATGAAATCTAACAATTTAAAAAATGTTTCTAATGATATGTGCAGATATGCTCACTCTCTAATTCTATGCACATTGTTAAACCAACATTTAATCCAGTATTTAATCCACCTCTCAACCCTTTATAGTCATCCATAAAGACCAATAAACTTGCTTGTTTTAAATTTTCTGCCAAGAGACAAGTATAAAGGATTGATAGGAATCTTAGAACTTTTTGGAATTTCCTAAATTAATGCTTAAGAATTCTTAACAAAACAGATTAATGCATGTTTTAATCTCATATTTACCTTCCAACCCACTGGCCTCCGAGGTCAAAATTGTCTGTTCCATCTGCTGCCTTTAGTGGTAATGTTAATGTTCGTCCACCAACTCTGTCTAAAAGATAGAGGGGTAAAAACTTATTTCATGGGGAACTGCACAGTTTGTTTTCATTTGAAGGTGGAAGAAGATTACTTTTGAATTGATGGTAAAGAAGAACCATGGTTATAAATATTAGGGAGCTATAGCAAAGAAAAGTCTGACAGAAAACAGTGCTGTGAGGGAATTGAGAATCTAAAGCTACAAATGTATAATAATATAAACCTAAAAATACACCACAGGCAAAAAAATAAGACTATGTAAATATTAAATTCTCTTGTGTTTTTTAAAGAACCCTGTATCCCAAAATCTAGTATAAATCTCAGTTAAATAAACTGTAATGTTTTTGTTTTTATATATATAAATATGATATTGTTGTAAATAGAACAGGAATGAAATTTTGTTCATATGAAAGGCCCTAAACATGACAATTAAGGCCCTAATCTCTTATGCTCTAAATGTATTGAGTGTCTTGACACCAAACAATGGTGTGGCGGCCCTAATACTTGGAGCCTAATGCCCTAATAGATGCCCTTTTTATGGAGCCTAATGCCCTAAAAGGTGTCCTATCTATGGAACCTAATGCCCTAACAGGTGTCCTATCTATGGAGCCTAATGCCCTAACAGGTGTCCTATCTATGGAGCCTAATGCCCCAACAGGTGCCCTATCTATGGAGCCTAATGCCCCAACAGGTGCCCTATCTATGAAGCCTAATACTCTAACAGGTGCCCTATCTATGGAGCCTAATGCCCTAACAGGTGCCCTAATCATGGAGCCTGATACCCTAGCAGGTGCCCTATCTATGGAGCCTAATGCCCTAACAGGTGTCCTATCTATGGAGCCTAATGCCCTAACAGGTGTCCTATCTATGGAGCCTAATGCCCCAACAGGTGCCCTATCTATGGAGCCTAATGCCCCAACAGGTACCCTATCTATGGAGCCTAATGCCCTAACAGGTACCCTATCTATGGAGCCTAATGCCCTAACAGGTACCCTATCTATGGAGCCTAATGCCCTAACAGGTGCCCTAATCTATGGAGCCTAATGCCCCAACAGGTGCCCTATCTATGGAGCCTAATTACCCTAGCAGGTGCCCTATCTATGGAGCCTAATGCCCTAACAGGTGCCCTATCTATGGAACCTAATGCCCTAACAGGTGTCCTATCTATGGAGCCTAATGCCCTAACAGGTGTCCTATCTATGGAGCCTAATGCCCCAACAGGTGCCCTATCTATGGAGCCTAATGCCCCAACAGGTGCCCTATTCTATGAGCCTAATACTCTAACAGGTGCCCTATGTCTGGAGCCTAATGCCCTAACAGGGTCCCTATATATGGAGTCTTATTACCCTAGCAGGTGCCCTATCTATGGAGCCTAATGCCCTAACAGGTGTCCTATCTATGGAGCCTAATGCCCTAACAGGTGTCCTATCTATGGAGCCTAATGCCCCAACAGGTGCCCTATCTATGGAGCCTAATGCCCCAACAGGTACCCTATCTATGGAGCCTAATGCCCTAACAGGTACCCTATCTATGGAGCCTAATGCCCTAACAGGTACCCTATCTGATGGAGCCTAATGCCCTAACAGGTGCCCTAATGATGGAGCCTAATGCCCCAACAGGTGCCCTATCTATGGAGCCTAATTACCCTAGCAGGTGCCCTATCTATGGAGCCTAATGCCCTAACAGGTGCCCTATCTATGGAGCCTAATGCCCTAACAGGTGCCGTATCTATGAAGCCTAATTACCCTAACAGGTGCCCTATCTATGGAGCCTAATGCCCTAACAGGTGCCCTAATCATGGAGCCTAATGCCCCAACAGGTGCCCTAATCATAGAGCCTGATACCCTAACAGGTGCCCTATCTATGGAGCCTGATGCCCTAACAGGTGCCCTATCTATGAAGCCTGATACCCTAACAGGTGCCCTATCTATGGAGCCTAATGCCCTAACAGGTACCCTATCTATGGAGCCAAATGCCCTAACAGGTATCATATCTATGAAGACTAATGCCCTAACAGGTGCCATATCTATGGAGCCTAATGCCCTAACAGTTGCCCTATCAATGGAGCCTAATGCCCTAACAGGTGCCCTAACTATAGAGCCTAATGCCCTAACAGGTGTGCTATCTATGGAGCCTGATGCCCTAACAGGTGCCCTATCTATGGAGTTTAATTACCCTAGCAGGTGCCCTATCTATGGAGCCTAATGCCCTAACAGGTGCCCTATCTATGGAGCCTAATTACCCTAGCAGGTGCCCTATCTATGGAGCCTAATGCCCTAACAGGTGCCCTATCAATGGAGCTTAATGCCCTAGCAGGTGCCGTATCTATGGAGCCTAATGTCCTAACAAGTGCCCTATCCATAGAGCCTAATGCCCTAGCAAGTGCCCTAATCAAGTCAGGTGTCAGACAGACTCAAGAGTATACATGGAGAGTGAGATAGTGAACTGCAGATATATACATAGCTTGGATTTGACTTGTAAAAATGCACTTGGATATTATTAATTCACTCGTTAAAACTAACTCTGGTGTTGTTTTTGTTTTATATTTGATAAGATTTAGTTCTTAACTTAACACAGGATCCACAATATTTTGTGACCCTGGTAAAAACACCCCCATAGGAAAATGTTGCAGAACTTTAAAATTAAATAAGTCACTCAAAAGTAGCAATTAAATTATGACACATACAAAACTGTGTGTTCCCCCCGATTCTTATCCCTGTTTTTTATACTGTGACTTGTGCATATATGGTAATGGTACAAGTATCCTTGGGTGACCAGACTCAGAGGGACCATTATACATTTATACATTGTACATGTCTTGTCTTAATTATGGATATATTTTCTTACATTGCATACATTGACAATTTATAACCTTAACTGGGTTAGTTACTTTTGGCCTCTAACACAACGATCTGTAAAGATGAGTCCTTTTTATGGAGTTGATACGCAGCAGTCAGTCCCGATATACCTCCGCCCACAATCACAACATCTACATTCATTTTGAACAACCATTCCATCGGTGCCGAGTCAATTTCCTCCCCCTAAAAAGATGCACAAGTGTCATCGAAATTTTAGTTAAGATACGAAACGTAAATTGCATGGTGATGATGAATAAATTTACAATAAACTTTATTAAAAATATAGCAAATGCATACTGCACATAACATCAGCAAAGTGTACCTCTCTGAATATGTTTATGACGATGTTATTGACGACTCTATTTCCGGTGCGTCGATTTACCAAAAGGACCCAAAAGGACCCAAAAGAACCCAAAAGGACCAAAAGGAACCCAAAAGGACCCAAAAGGAACCCAAAAGGACCCAAAAGGAAATTAAGAACGACCCAAAAGGACTTTAAATAAAGAGATTAAATGGATATATAATGAATACTTTCATATTTTATTAAAACTAAAACTAGTTTTTTGAGGGTAAAGTGCGTGTTTGGGTTGAGGTGGGAGGCCCCCCCCCATCCCCCACCCCCACCCATCCCCGATACCATATGCCTAGAACATGTCATTAAATAAACTTATTTCTTTATTTATCAAATATCATATAATAAGATATAATAAAACAGAAGGAGAAATAGAATAATACAGTGCACTTTGTTAAATTCAGCTAAAAGAAATCAAAGCATATCTGACCAGATTTAATGATTGATGTGTTATAAAAGTCGTATGTTATTTCTTTAAGAAAAGTTGCAACAATATAAATGTATGTTTTTGCCAATTTTTAGGTAAATTTATAATATAATATTCATAATTTAATTCAAATTATTAATTTTCAATGTATTATAATATATTAATTCGAATCCTTTTGATTTCCTTTTGGGTCCTTTTGGGTTCCTTTTGGGTCCTTTTGGGTTCCTTTTGGGTCCTTTTGGGTCCTTTTGGGTTCCTTTTGGGTCCTTTTGGGTCCTTTTGGGTAAATCGACGCACCCCTCTATTTCTGTTGTGGATAATTTGACCAGACACCGCATTAGTCGGTGTTTGAAAATGAAAGTAGATGTTGTGGTGGTGGGTGGGGGTATATCGGGGCTGACTGCTGCCTATCAGCTTCATAAAAAGGATGCATCTTTACAGATTGTTGTGCTTGAAGCCAAAGGTGACTTTTCCAGCTAAAATTAGAAGTTGTTACTGCTGTAACTTTGTGTATGCAATGTTTGTTTTTATGTAGCCTGCCAGTTGTTCACGGAATAACAGATAACTCGGTGTCTGCTTTTTAGCTCACCTCAGGGACAATATGATTATCAAAATTTTACATAAAAATATGCAGGAAAATCTGTAGAATTCTTCCCTTCAAGAACAGTAAAACCATGTGTTTGCTAGACTGATCAAACCATGACCATTGTCCACAGAAGATAGAAAAGACATCTTATCATTCAAAGAAAAACAAATTTTGGCTTCATCATTTTCATGCAAGAGGCGAAGCGCCTTAATTAATCTAATTTTCCTCTTTTATTTGTAGACAGAGTTGGTGGACGAACATTAACATTACCATTAAAGGCAGCAGATGGAACAGATAACTTTGACCTTGGAGGACAGTGGGTTGGAAGGTAGCTTATTAAACGTTGATTTCAAAATAATATTGATTTCAAGACTGAGGACTTTTTTCATTCAGATTTTTAGGATAATATTTAGCAAACAGATTAGAATAATATATATTTGAAAAGAGTCTACTCGTTAATATATTTATAAACATATTTTGGGTTAATTCATTTTAACATAGAGATCGAGTGAGCATTAATTAATTAAGCCAGTTCTATACAATTGCTTTGATTTCATTGACCTTTTCATTAATTTGCACTGACTCATTCTTATGCCCTCTAATTCACATGGAGAGTGTAATTCATCATGTTCATAGTAAACTGATATGAAATAAAATAATTTGAATTAAATTAAATTCACAAAACAGCTAATGCGGAGTAAAGTAGCATGGATTAAAATTTTTATTTCTACGGTAAGGCTATTCAGTAAGGCAATTATGATTATGAAGTCATTTACAAAACATGTCACATTATGCAAAGCAGAACCATTTGACTTAATACCACAGTGAGTGTACACATTGAATTTAGTGATTTACAAAATTTTTCTTTGTTTTTCCCTCCAGAATAGCACTTCAAGTCAGGTCAAATAAATTTTATTTATAGTCGGCACATATATACAGTCAGGCGCGGATCCAGGAATTGAAGTTAGAGGGGGCGCCAAAAATAGGCAGGGAGTCTGGGAGCCGCCTTGAGGCCCCCAGTCGGTAAGCGCAAAGCCCTGGTGGGGGCCCTGGGGGCAAAGCCCCCGGAAGCTCCTGGATTCTAGAGATTTTGTAGGGTAAAAAAGAGGTCTACCAAGTAGACATATGTACATTTTCTAGACGAAACAGTGATTTACCCTTACTTTGACAATTTTAGAGGGGGCGCGCGCCGGGTGCGCCCCCCTTAAATCCGCCACTGACAGAACAACAGAAATAACATGACTTAACATAAACCTACATCTGACTAAATCATCAAGTTTAGCTAGCGGTAGTAACTATAAATTAATAAGTTTTTGATTGTGCATAGTTGACCATGTGAATGTTTTTTGTAGATGTCAGCCCCACATCATGGCCCTGTTGGAGGAGCTGGGACTCTCCACACATGTCCAGTATCTGGAGGGCAAGAAGTTTATGCAGCTGGGAAGTGACAGAATTAGCAGCTATAGCTCAGATATCCCCCCGCTGTCACCACTAGCACTGATTGATCTACAGAGATTTATGTACAAGGTTGGTATAAACTATACTGCTTTCTGGAAATTCACCAGAGACCATTTCTGGAGACACTCCTCCCCTTCTCATTCTAACGAAGCAAAAATCAATCAAACCTTAATCATGTTAATTCCAATGATACCAACATTTTTGGGGAAAAAAATTGAATTATTTTTTTTTAAGTTGCATGTTCCCACCAGGCAAACACACATTCAAATGATTACTGGGAAATTTCCGACATCCATTTTATCAATATGACACTTTAAATAAATTCAACCCTGCTTGTTTTTCATCAGACATTAACATGCTTCTAGATTCTTTGTCCCTATTCTCATGAAATTTTTAAAACATTAATCACAATTTTTTAAAATTATCTTTCGTACATTATTTCAATCTCGTTGGTAGCTGGAATGGATGAGAAAGCAAGTTGATATCCAGGATCCATACCAGAGTCCGTATGGAGCTGAGTGGGATGCCATGACCTTGGACACATTTCTCAACAAGCAATTGTGGACTAAAGGTATAAAAAATGTTTCATTATTTCTAACATTCATATTTTATTGCACATGTATAACAGGACTATGTGCACTGACCCATTAGCTTAGCCCATAGAATCCCACACAGTTCCCGGGTTTAATCCCAAAGACTGGCTGACATTTTTTCATATCTGTTATTAGCTCACCTAAAGTGAAAGCTCAAGTGAGCTTTCCTGATAACCCACTCTCTGTTGTCCATCTGTCTGTAAACTTTCCCCATTATCAGCTTCTTCTCAAGAACCACATGGCCAATTCTAATCAAACATGGCACAAAGTACCCTTGGGTGAAGGGGAGTTTAAATTGTTAAAATGGAGAGTCATGTCCCTTACTTAGGGAGATAAGAAAAGATAAAAATAAGGTGGGGTCATTAAAAAATCCTCTTCTCAAAAAGCATTAGGCCAGAAAAGCTGAAACATCCTGGAAGCATCCTGGGATAGTGTTAGATTCTAATTTGTTTAAATCATGAGCCCAGGGGTAGAGTGGGGCCACAATAGGTAAACCACATTTTACCGATACATTGATTTAGAAATATATACTATAGGAAAATTCTTTAAAAATCTTCTTCTCAAGAACCACTGGGATAGAAAAGCTGAAACTTATGTGGAAGCATCCTGGGGTTGTTTAAATTCTAAATTATTCAAATCATGACCCCTGGGCGGGGCCATGATAGGTATTACAAAGGGGGAATCTGGTAAAGAACAAAGTTACTCAGGTGTGCAATGTGTCCCATGTATGATTTGTAAGAAGAAGTGTTTTACGCATTTGGTACACATATTGGCCTCCCAGGTAGATCTGTTGGTGGAGCACCCACAAGGTATACTGGAGGTCACGGGTTCAAGTCACAGTCTGCTCAACATATTCCCCTTGCTTACATTGTATCCTGAAAAAAATGACAAATATCATTCATTTGAAAATAATCCATACGGCATATGACTGAATTTACATTGAAAAGCAGTATGTTTTGTCACAGGAGCTATCATAGAAAAGAACTACAGTGAAACTTGTCTAATCTTACTGAATGTTCACAGGCACCTGACGTTACTTATTTTTTGTTTATTATTAGGTATGGTTATTTTTTTTTATTAAAAGAAAAATAAGTAACTGCAGGTGCCTGTGTGAATGTTGTATTATCCAAAATCTTGCTTTATATGATGAAAAACTTTTAGTCTTTTTTAACAAATTTTAAAATAAATTTGTTTAAAATGTCATTTAATCTGAAATGTTGTCTAATCTGGCCAATTTCTTTGGAACCAGTTGTGCCTGGATCAGACAAGTTTTACTGTACAACCAGATATTCACCCATCCCCTTAATGAACCATCCGGAACACCTTGGGCCTTTCACAGAAAAACACTATTCTGTGAAAGGTCCAAAGTGTTCTGGATGCTTAATGATCGAGCTTGATATTGTTTTCTTCATCAGGTGCCAAAGAGACCATAGAGGCTGCCAATCGCTGTATGTTTGGCATAGAGTCATCTCAGATTTCGGTTTTGTACTACATTAGTTATTTGAGTGGTGCAGGCAGTCTTAAGAATCTTATAGAGGCCACAGAGTACACAGCACAGGAATATAGAATTATTGTAAGATAAATGTAATTGTAAACTTTATATAAACAGTATAAGCTTGATGCATTTTTTTAAAAAATTTGTCCTGTTAATATATTCTGGTGGATTGTATTCTCTTGAGACAAAAAATCTTTTCTTCATTAGAAACTAAAGCAATAAATTTCTGGGGAAAATA